ACCATAGGCACTCTCCCCTTGAGAGAGTAGTCATGCCTGTTCCCTTTTTCCACACAGAGTTGTCGTCTCCTGTGCATTGATTCTCATCATCAACCACAACAGGAGGACTCTGCTGGCCAGGGTCTGCAACACAGCATCATCCTAATCCTCAAATAAGACAAAGACAGAACAAAGAAAGAAAACTACAGGCCAATATTGCTGATGAACATAGACACTAACATCCTCAACAAAGTCTTGGCAAACTGAATCCAGTAATACATTAAACAGTTCATAAACCTAGATCAGGTGGGATTCATCCTGAAGATGGAAGGATGGCACAATATGCACAAATCAATAAATGTAATACATCACATAAACAAAAGACAAAACATGCCCATATCAATAGATGAAAAAAGACCAAACATTTGATAATTTATAGCACACGCCTATGATAAAAACAGTAAAGTAGGAGTAGAGGGAGCATACCTAAACATAATAAAGGCCATACATGAAAACACTACAGCCAACATCATACTCAATGGAAAACAACTAAATGGTTTCTGAATAAGATCAGGAACAAGACAAGGATGTCCGCTTTCACCACTTCTATTCTACATAGTATTGGAAGTTCTAGCCACAGCAATCAGACAGGAAGAAATAACATGCATTAGAAAGGACAAATTGGAAAGGAGGAAGTAAAAGTGCCATTGTTTGTAGATCACATGATAGCATACATAGAAAACCCTACAGACTACAGAAAAACTACTTGGCCTGATAAATGGATTCGACAAAACAGCGGATACAAAGTCAATATTCAGAAATCGAAGGTGATATACAAATAATGGATTATAATGAACGGAAATCAGGAGAAAAATACCTTTGCTATAGGAATGAGAAAAATAAAGTATCTAGGAATAAACTTAACCAAAGAGGTAAAACACCTGCACTGAGAAACTACACAACATCGAAGAAAGAAATTAAGGAAGACACAAACAAATGGAAACATATTACCATGTTCATGAATTGGAAGAATTAACATCATCAAAATGTCCATACTACCCAAAGCAATTTAAAGATTCAATACAATGCCTATTAAAACACCAATGACATGCTTCACATATATAGAACAAGCATTTCAAAAATTTATATGAAACCATAAATGACCATTTATAGCCAGATGCAGCAATTTTTAGAAAGAAGAACAGAGTATGAGGAATCTCCATATAAAACTATATTATAAGGCTACTATAATTAAAATATTCTGGGAATGGCATAAGAACAGACACATAGATCAATTGGACAGAATAGAGAGCCCAGAAATAAACCCAAGTATTTATGGTAACTTAATATTCCATAAAGAAATATTAATTCTGCCTCCACAAAGGGGGCAGAAGCATAAAATTGAGTAAAAATAACATCTTCAACAAGAATTTATATGGAACCACAAAAAAACCCTGCATAGCAACAGCAATGCTGAAAAAGAACAAACAGAGGAATCACGCTACCTGATATCAAACTATACCATAAGGCCAATTGAAATCAAAACAGCATGGTACTGGCATAAAAACAGACTCATAGATCAATGCAGCTGAATAAACAGAAATAAATCTATACCTTTATAGTCAATTAATATTTGACGGAGGAAGCAACCATATGCAATGAGCTAATGATAGTTTTTTTTTGAATGGTGTTGGAATAATTGGACAGTTATGTACAGAGAAATGGAACAAGACCACACACAATAATAAATTCAAAGTGAATCAAGAAAGTAGAGAGCATTATGCTAAGTGAAATATGCCAGGTGAAAGACAAATACCATATGATCTCACCTATAAGTGGAACTTAACACAATAAAAAGTGAGTAAATTAGAACCAAAATCATGGAAATAAAGAACAAACTGACAGTGACTAGAGGGGATGGGGGAAGGGAGTAATGAGGGAAATAAGGGGAATGTGCAAATCAAGGAATATGAATAGAGGACTCATTGACTGGACAATGGGAAGAGATTGGCCATGGGAGTGGGCTGAGGGGGCAAGGCAGAGCAAGAGGAAAAAAAGATGGGACAACTGTAACTGATCAACAATAAAAAACACATGATACAAAAGGAAAAGAAAAAAATGCTTAAATATTAGACCTGAAACCATAACCATAGAAGAAAACATAGGCAGCAAAATCTCAGACATTGTTTGTAGCAATATTTTATTAAATATATTTCTCCTATCAAGGAAAACAAAAGAAAAAACAAACCAATATGACTACATCAAACTAAAAAAATATTTGCACAGCAAAGGAAGTCATCAACAAAATAAAAACACAACCCACAAAATGGGAGAATATATTATCTGATATATATGATAAAGAGTTAATATCCTAAATTTATAAAGAACTTACAAAAGTCAACATTAAAAACAAACAAACCAATTAAAAAGTGGACTAAGGACCTGAATAGACTGTTCTCTAAAGAAGACATAAAGATTGCCAATAGATATATTAAAATATGTTCAACGTCTCTTATCACCAGAGAAATGCAAATTTAAACCAAAATGAGGTATCAACCCACACCTGTCAAAATGGCTATCATCAATAAATCAAAAAACAGAAGTGCTTGTGAGGATGCTGGGAAAAGGCAACCCTTTTGCACTCTTGATAGGAATGCAGACTGGAGCAGCTGTTGTGGAAAGCAGTATTGAGTTACCTCAAAAAATTGAAAATGGATCTGCTTTTTGACCTAGTGATCCCACTATGGGAGTATACCTGTAGAAACACTAATTCAAAAGAACATTATCTCTTCTATAGTATTATTTACCATGGCCAAGATGGGGAAGCAGCCCAAGCATCAATCAGTAGATGAATAGATAAAACAACATTTACCCAACGGAATACTACTTGGCCATAATAAAAAAAAATAATTTTCCTTTGAGGCAGTATGGATAGACCTAGAGAAAATTATGTTGAGTGAAATAGAAAGTCATAGACATACAAATACAACATGATTTCATTTATATGTCAAATCTAATAAACAAACTGAACAAGGAAAAAGGGGACAGATTCATAGAGGTAGAGCAGGAAGGCAGCTAGTGTGGTGGGGAAAGTGAGGGGAAGACACTGAGCAAAAAAGAAAAAAGGACCCATAGACATGGACAACAGTGAGATGATTGTTAGGGGTAGAGTGGTATAAAGGGACTAAATGACAATGGAAAATAGTACAATAAATATTAAATTTAAAGAAAATTTTATAAATCAGTAGGAATAACCTAATTCTGAATTAAACATAATTCCAAAGTAATGTGCTATTAGAACATTGTAGACTCCAGGTAATCAGTAATATACAGCCATTCTTATAAAAGGAAATAGTAAAAGGATAAAAAAAGTGAAAAACGAAAACTTCATTTATTTTATTATTTTAATTTAACCCATATGCAGAAAGAATAACCAGTTCTACCTCAAAATTTAAAATCTGGATAATGTTCAAGGTTTACAAAATTATTTTAACTTTTAAGAAGGTATAATTTGCCAGTTAGGTTAATGTTTCTATTACTACCTAGAAACTGCAGAAAGTCTTATTTTTCATTCATAACCAAAACTTCTATAACCAAAATGGAGCCATGAGGCTTTTAGGGAGGTGGTAGAATAGGTTTTAAGAAATTTTGTCTGGTATCAGAGTAGAGGATGAATTAGAGAGGAGAAAAACTAGAGTCAGGGAGATAAGTATTAAGAAAAGGAAGTTTCTTGCTGAGGATTTCATTATGCCTAAGCCAAAGTCAAAGGCCAGCAACCACATGCCATAAAATCATGTCCTTTCCACATCTGGTAGTATCAAATCTTCTTACTCCTCCTTTCTGCATGTGCTGATGCAGAAAAAAAGGGGGGATGTGTGTGTCATTGCGTCATTTCTAGGAACAGAGACACCATATGCTTCTAGAGGGCAAATAGTAGGCATCTCATTACCAAATCTTTAGTCTTTGATATAATTGGAATATATAATTGGAATATAATTGGTCTTAGAAAAGGTCTGTTGAGCGAATGATTGAAAATAAGAATGAATATGAATGGGGATAAATCATGCTAGAAGATATAGTTTTTCTTGAACCAAAAGTCAAATGATAATAGACAACTTTAGGTTCCTGGCCATGTATCATTTCCTCTGACAACTTGGCAGTTGAAACAATAAATTATTTCATTTCCTTAAGAAGTGTTATATATAATGAAAACCAGCTATGATTCAAGTAATACATAAAGGAATTTGTGCATTGAGCACCTTATCCAACTTGGGGGAAGGAGTTGTAGACTAAAGGTAACCCACATGAGGCCCACACAGATAGCCATGCAATGGAAAATGTATCAGGATAGGGACCTATGAAAAACATCCTTCCATAACTATAAAAATTATTTATTTTCGAAGATAGCATAAATTTTTAGAAAATAATAAGATGCATGATGTCATTTATATATTCATAAATGTCAGTAGATGAAAAACAAGAGATACAGGTGGGCTGTAGTAATGTATCATTCCCATCCTTAGAAAAAGTATGGAATATCCCCAGCATGGGCAACTATCACAATGTTGAAGAGCACTTGGAGGAGACATGGAACAAAAATTAAGGGATATGAATCATGAGGTCCTGAGTCCAGAGGCTGGTGAATGAACATGAACAAAACTTTTCCCTGAAATTAAAGAAGTGGCCCTCTGATCTATTTTGGGTGGCTGTTACCCAACTGTTAAACACAACTCAGTATTTTTTTGTTGTTGTTGAGATAAAGAATTATTTTATTTATTTTATTTTTACACTTTTTTTGTGATACGAAAGTCAGAAATCTTTTTTTAAATTTTATTTAGTTATTTTTCAAGTACAGCTTTTTGGCTATTTCTCCCATCCCAGCCTCCTCTGACCCATGCTCTCATCAAATCTATGTCTCTCTTTTACACAGAATCTTTCTAAGAGGTACATACAATAGTACAAAGAATAAAACAGTTGAATTCTGCTTCATCTTAAACAATAGAAATGGGAAAAATACTTACGTTCTACAAAGTAAGAGCTAGCATCAATCTTCCAGATGATCTGTCCCTGATGAGAACCATTTACTCCACGATTCTTATAGTCCAGAAAGTTTTCTGACAAGACCTCATCTATATTCCCAAGAAAAGAAAAAAGAAAGTAGAGGAAAATATCAGCAAATAGTATATATAGGGGGAAATAAGAGCAAAGAATATTAATGCCATCTCCAGATAAATGGAGAAAAAATCATATGGAATCAGAATCAGAGAGCTCACAAAGAATCATAGAATAAGTATCTATAGGAACCCTTGGTACAACACTTTCTAAATGCAGGAATCTCTTTCCACTCCTCAATTCTCTTGGTCAATGACCATCTAGCTGGTTCTTCAAAAATTCCAAAAAGAGATATAATTGATTTTATGGTAGTTTATTTTACTTTTGAAAGCACCTATGTGTATGAAATCTCAGTGTGAAATGTTCTCGTAGTGGGAAAAAGATAGCAGCAGTGTAGGTGGAAATCATACTCCCCTTCTCCCTGGTATGAACTGGAATTACAGCTAAAATATAAAACAATCAAGATGAAATCCCACCTGATCACAACCTGAACAGAAATCATGTAACAAAGGATTCACAGAGGCAATCTCAAAACTGGTAAAAAAGGTGGAGGTGCAAAAAGGCCTGGCCCAGCACCCACCTGTGATCACTGAGACCTGGGAGAAACATCTCAGCTGCAAAGGTCCCCCCCTTAGGAGTGTACAATCTCAAGTCCATGCAGGGCTTCCCAGACTGGAGCACCAGAGTCTGGAAGAGACATCCATCCACATAATATCTAGCTGTAAGAATCAGAGGGTATTCTGCCCACTGGGGAGAGAAGGGAGTCCATTAGAAACCCAGGCGCCCTCTTAAAAGGTCCGTGCACAAAATCTCACTTGCCCCCCCCCCGGGTTTCAGCAGAGAGAGAGCACAGATTAGATCCCACTTGAGTTGTGTGAGGACAGACTGGATTATATGGTTCCAGGGAGACAGCTGAAGGGACAACTACCAGGGTGCCTGTGTTATTTCCCTCTCCTATACAGACCACAGAAGACATTTTTTTTCTTTGTTTGAGCACTCCTCTTTATACCACATTGGTCTGAGGGAAAATGTATGGCCCCACCTTCTCAACTGTCTATAGCCTTGTCCTGTCAAGCTCACAAAATGCCTTAGTCTGTGGTATAAACTTTCTTGGAGGTGTATGGGGATAAGCTGGGGGTAGACAAAGATTGAGTTGTATGCCTCTGGGGTGGGTGCCATTTCCCCTCACCCCACAGCATGCCAGGGCAGTAGTGTTATATGCTCTACATGCCAGACCTGAGAGGACTACAGGCCAGAGCATAAGCTTCATGTATCCTGAGCAAAAGAGCAGTGGTTCTCCTCCCCAACACAAACCAGAGCAGTGGTGTCCCATGGCTCACAGTAGCAGTTCCCTGTACCCCAAAGAGAGATCCACTAGACCCACCATGGGACAACGACTAACTCTACCTTACCAAATGCCTGTAACACCAACCTGCTGAGCTTGCTCTCTGCAATACTGCCAATGGGCTGTGGCCAGACTGGGCTGGCAGGGCAAAAGACTCCCCAGGAGATGAAAGCAAACACTGGTAAAAACTCAGTTGTATGGCTCTGGGGTGGGGGCTGTTGCTCTCTGCATGGCCAACTGACACCATATTCCTGGCCAAACCCTTTATTAACATGGCCAAATCTTAGTCTGTTATTCTTTTTGGTGCTGGCCTCAATCTCATGATTCCTTGGGACCCTATCCAACCACAAAGTTTTATGGGTACCCAGCAGATAGTGTCTCACTTTGGCATACCCTTAGACTGTTGATGAATGACCTCAGAACCAGCACTACTGCCAAGTTTGTTTCTGCATAAGTGTAGTAAACATCACTTGCCCCAACCTGGTAACTCATTGGGAACCTACCTCATGCAATTCATGTACTTCCAAAAGCTATTTCAGTGTCAGAACCTAAAAGGAAGCTAAAAGACAAAGGAAAATATTGGGGATCCTTAGGCCAATGGCTGACCTATTCCAGAGCTGGAGCTAGTGTTGGCCTCTACACACCCAGGTCCAATTAAGGCAGTCACAAACTATGGATAACTTTGTAGCTCCAAACGGGTAGTCTAGAAACAGTCAAACGCCTCACCAGATATTCCCATGCACAGGAGTCTCTCTCAAGAGGCCACAGAATCAACACACTTAACAGCAAGATTCAGAATGCATGAGTACTACCCAATTAGCTCTATAAGTGGCATAGCTAAAGGCATATCTCATTGGTTATCACATGCTGTTGGGGTAAATTCAACTTTATGAAGTAAGCAACCACATTCATTGTTATGGAAAGCAAAAGGGGCAACATCACCACAGATGAGTCAAAAACAATCAAGACTCAAATACAACAGAACTCACATAACCCATACAAGGGACATCCTGGAGTACCTAGATCAGGTTACCAGGAAGACAGATCTACTTAGCTATGAGACAGCTACTACAGAAGGTCACCAAACTAAGATTAGGAGGCATTGGCAATATATCTCATAATAGAAACAAATAAAGAGAGGCAACAAAATAAGAAGACAAAGAAATATGTCCCAGAGGGGATGCTGGGAAGATGGCGATGGAGTAGAACAAAGCTGATGCTAGTTCCTGTATTAATGGGTGAAAATCCTGGCAGATCTATAGAGAAACAGCACAATACACTATCAGTTACCCAGCATTTATGAAATTAAAAGAACAGAGATTGTGACAGATGCTGAAACACCAGACAACAGCAGAGTCAGCTACTGAAGCTGGGACACACACGGCCCCTGTGCTGTAGCCAGAGCAACAGGCCTGAGAGATGGGGACTCAGGTACAGGAGCCGGACACTCCAAGCCCCTGTGACAGTCCTGGGTGGCAGCAGAGGAGTCAGCTACAAGAGACGGGACATTCTTGGCCCCTGTGCCACTGCCATAGTAACGGTGGGGGTACTTGAGGAGGCGGCTACTAGAACCGGGACATTCAGCAGTGGTAGGCGACCAACGAAGGGGCCAGCCCGAGGACTAGCGTGAGAGTAGGTAGAGACGAAGAAATCAAGAAACTTCAAAAAGTCTGCACCATTGAACTTCACAAGGACCATACCACAGAAGTTTAAACCATAAAACCAGGGTTTCAGAACAGATCAATTTTCGAAGCAGAGACTAACAAAAAAAGTCTCAAACAATGGGAAGACAAAGAAACAATCCCCAAATGAAAGAAAAAGAAGAAACTTTAGAAAGAATGAGAGGTGAAATAGAGGCTAATCAACTATCAGATAGTGAATTCAAAGCACTGGTTATTACGAAGTTCAAAGAGCTCACAGTGAACTACCAGAAACTACAGGGGAACTACAATGATCTCTCTGGAAACTACAGCAACATGAAAAAGGAAATGGAAACTGTCAGCAAGGGACAAGAGGAAATGAAGAATACAATTTCCAAATTGAAGAACACAGTAGAAAGTTCCAAAAGTAGGATAGATGAAGCAGAGGATAGGATTAGTGAGTTGGAGGACAAGGTAGAAAGCATCTCACAGAAAGAGCAAGAAAATAAAAAGAGGCTCAGAAAGAATGAAGAGGTATTAAGAGAAATGCAAGACAATATGAAACATAATAATATCCGAATGATAGGAATACCAGAAGGAGAAGAAGAACAAGGGATAGAAAACATATTTGAAAGAGTAATGAGAGAAAATTTCCCTAATTTGATAAGAGAAAAAGTGACACAAATCCAGGAATCACAGAGTCCCTATCAAGAGGAACCCAATGAGACCCACTTCAAGACACATCATCATCAAAATGGCAAAATTCCAAGACAAAGAGAGAATCTTAAAGGCAGCAAGGGAGAAAAAAGAAATAACATACAAGGGAGCCCCAATAAGGTTAGCTACTGACTTCTCAATGGAAACACTCCAAGCAAGAAGAGAATGGCAAGAAACATTCCAAGTAATGAGAACCAGAGGCCTACAACCAAGGCTACTTTACCCAACAAGGCTCTCAATCAAGATAGATGGCCAAATAAAGAACTTTGAAGACAAAAGAAGCCTAAAAGAATATAGTGCCACCAAGCCAGCTCTACAAGAAATACTAAAAGGACTGCTTTAAGGGAGGGAAGGATAAGAGGGAGACAGAGAGGAACACAGGTACAAAAATGACAATGAATAAGTACCTATCAATAATAACCTTAAACGTAAATGGATTAAATTCTCTAATCAAAAGACACAGAATAGCTCAATGGATAAGAAAGCATGACCCACACATATGCTGCCTACAACAGACCCACCTCAGGACAAAAGACCATCACAGACTAAAAGTGAAAGGCTGGAAACAAGTTTTCCAAGCAAACGGACAAGAAAAAAAAGCTGGGATAGCAATTCTCATATCGGACAAAATAGACTTCAAAAAAAGAGCCATAAAGAGAGACCGAGAAGGTCACTTCACTATACTCAAGGGAAGAATCCACCAAGAAGACATTAACATTGTAAACATATATGCACCAAACATAGGGACACCCAAATATATAAGGAAAATCTTAGAGGACTTCAAGAAAGATATTGACAGCAACACAATTATAGTAGGGCATTTTAACAACCCACTATCAAAAATGGACACATCTTCCAAACAAATTATCAACAAAGATATTGTGATATTAAAAAACACCCTAGATGAAATGGACTTAACTGATATATAGAGAGCCCTTCATCCCAAAGAAGCTAAATACACATTCTTTTCTTTTTTTTTTAAATTTTTTTATTGATTATGCTGTTACAGTTGTTCTATTCCCCCTTTCATTCCCCTCCATCCTACCCCCCATCCACACCCTTACCACCCCTGTAGTTTATGACCATGTGTCTCAAGTCCTTTAGATTCTATATTTCCCATGCTATTCTTGCCCCCCCATCTATTTTCTATCTACTGTCTATGCTACTTATTTTCTGTACCTTCTCCCCCCTTCTCCTCCTCCTACTCCCCTGTTGCTAACCCTCCTTGAGATCTTCATTTCTATGTTTCCACTCCTGATCTAGCTGTCCTTTTAGTTTGCTTTTGTTTTAGGTGTGGTTGTTAATAACTGTGAGT